AAAATGAAATGAATAGGGAAGGGGAAATCATTTAGCGGCATATTTCTTAAACACTTACAAATGAGCGTTTAATCTATCCTTGCGTCGTTACAAGGAAAATTTTCTACCTCTCATCAGTTAGTTTCATCCATTTTCCAAATCTTTAATACCTTGACAAAGCTTTAATCCAAAAAAATTTTCAAAAATTATTTTTTCTAAAAATCTTCTCAAATGACTGTTGTAGATTGAATATTTTTAATAATTACTATAATATTAAAAATTTTAAGTTTACTAAATTTAATCCAAAAAAAACCAGGCGTGGAAGAGCATCTTGGAGTGGAATGACAGGAGGTGTTCGACCAAAAATGTGATGGAAGATTAGGAATTTTGCGAAGTCCAATGAGGTTGACAGCGTCACAGATTGTGTCCTGAAAGACTTTATGTTTTCTCGTAGAATATTTAGCATCGTTCAGCAGTACAGCGGCTTTGAAGTTTAGGAGCATATATTCATAATGGTGGTCCTTCATTTTTTACTTTACTATACCTATACCTGCTGTTTCTTATCATGTAATCTTTTAATGATATTCCTTTGATGTAATTAACATAATTAATATAATTAATGTATTAGTATTGTTTGGGAATTGAAAATAGGAAACTCAAACTTGTTTTTACCTTTTAAAAACTATTATGTTCTATATGATGATATGGTTTTATATAATGAATCAGTTAATATTCAAAAGAAAATTTTAAAATAAAATACTTAATGAAGAGTTTTGCTAACTTGCCTTCTGGGTTAAATAACTTGGGTTAAATCACCCCCTAAAATTTATCAATAATTTTTTTTTAAAAAAAATTTATTTGTTATTATTCATTTCACTTTATATAGATTTTATTTATTTGAATATTATAGATAGAGTATAATGATCAAGTTTTCTTACATTTTGACAATGTCTCATTTTTTATTGTAATCATAATTTACATTTTTTTTTGAAAATTCGGGCAAAATTATATAACTGATTGTATAAAAATTTACTAATAGGTTAAATTATTCTGATTAAATCACCTTGGGTTAAAACTAGTCTTATATCTTAATGAAAATAAAATTTAAGTATTTTGGTTATGCAGCTTAATAAAGAAAATAAAGAAAATGACATTATTATATGACAAATCATCTGATTATACTAATTAAAAGTCTAGAAAAATAGTGTATTTATGTTGTATATTTGAAATTGATCAAAAAAGAATTAAGGATTTAAAAATCAAGAATATGTTAAACTGAATTTTATATTGTTTTTTCTTAAAAACAATTTTTATAGGAATTTCAAAGTTAGCTGCTAGTTTTTTTTTTATAAATAAAAAATAGATAATTTAAAAAATTAAAATTTTCAATTTATTAAAAAAAAGAAACAAAAAATACATTTTTTTAATAAAGAAATTTTTAATGAAAAGTTTTTCTTATCAAAGAAATTCTAACCCATCTTTTTAATTAACTAAAATAAAAAAACAATTTCCAGTTTTTTTTTTTTTAATAATATAAAAAACTAATTGTTAGTTTTTTAATATAGAAAATACCAATTTTTGGTTTTTTTTAAAAAAAATCAAATAAAAAATGATTGTAAATTAAAACATTTAAAATATTTTGATAAAAAAAAAATGTTTTTTATAAAGAAATTTAAATTAATCAATAGTTTAACAGATAATCCAATTATTTATTAACATGTGTATTAAAGAAAAAGAATATATTGTTATATAAATATAAATAATAAGTAATAAAACAATAATATTTTTTTACTTTTTAAAATTACCAATTGCATTAAAAATATTAATTATTATACAATTATCCTTTCACAAATATCTATAAAATACAAAAGTAAAATTATCATTATATAATTATTCAAAAATTAAAAAGTTTACTGTACTTATCTAATATATATTTTAAATTTTATTTTTTTTTTGCTTTTTTAGTTTTTACAATTATTTTAGATAATAAAATAATTGCAAAAAACTGATTTTTAAATTTAAATTTAATTGAACTTGCTTTTTTTTTATTAATAAAATCAAATTATAACTTGTTTTATATATATTTAAAGTAATATTTAAAAATTATATAACAGTTATTCAATAACTTAAGTATATTTAAGTATTTAAATAAGCTTTTAATAGTTATTTGTTTAGCCAAATATAATATAATTAAAAATTTAATTGGATGAAATTTAACTGAATTAAAATTATAAATTATGCCAAATTTACACAAATTATTACTATATATTAAAAAGAAATTAAATATTATTCAAATATACTTTATAAATTTAAATGATATTTGAATATATTTGATTTAAAAATTATTTCAAAGTTTTATTTAACTCAAGTTAAACTAAATCTAAATTGGTAATTTTAATTTTAATATTAAATTATAAAAAACCTATATAATTATATTAATATATTATTAGATACAGTTATTTGAAAATTTAATCCAATTTTTTAAAAATTAAAATATTAATAAATATTTTTGATATATATTAAATTTCATTATTTATTACTATTTAGAAGTTTGGATTAATTTTCAAAAAAAAAATAAAAATAAAAAATAGTAGTAAATAGTTTTAATATCTTAAAATTCATCTTTATTAATAAAAGCAAAAAAAAATATTAGTAAATATTCTTAATTTCTTAATTACTTTTTTGCATATTTTCATATTTTGGAAAATGGATTAATTCACTATTTATTATAAAATTTACTGTAATTCATCAATTTGATGAAAATTATAAAAATTTCTAAAGTTTAAATTGATTTTTATCAAAAAAAAAGTAAAAAAGAATATTAATAAATATTTTTGATTTAAAAAAAAAATTCCTAGAGCCAACTTTACCTTTTATAGTATTTTATTAACAAATAAATTTTGATTAACATATGATAAAGATAATCTCTTAAAGACACATTCGAAATTTTTAAATTCGCAGCCCTTCAGGAGTTGACTTCTTATATTACTTAATGCGTGGTTTAGTGCCGTCATCTTGGAAGACGTCCTTAATTTTACCGATATCAAACCACAAAACTTTAATTATAATATTAATAATACACGCCCTATTACGCTTCTTTGATTGTATCAGAAAAGCGATCGCCAACTTGGTTACGAATAGGCTTAGCAGATAACAATGCCCTAAAAGGACTTAATTTCTGTGGATTAAAGTTGAAAGTACTATCAATTCTTACCAGTATCAAAAGACTCCAGAGAAATAAAAAGAATTATGGATAGCGGCGCGAGATAAAAAAAAGTAATAAGGTCCCGACAAGGTTTAGTGTTCAACAGGCTGGACATCATGGGGTCACTCAGAGTCGTAGACGATTATTTCTACTTGTTTTTCGAAACAAGGTTCAATTAATGTTTTACTACCAGATGGCACATCATTCACATATAACCATTGAAGAAAGCTTATGATTCTATAGGATAGAAGGATTGTCCTTAGCACTTCGATAGAATTGACGTTCCTCCGCGATGTCCGAACTTGCTTTTATCAAACACTCTTCCAAAGAGTGGAAGAAGACACAAAATTTGAAACTCGAATTCGAGAAGCTATCCAAGATGTCTTCTATTGAATTATTCATCTTTTTATGTATAGAAAAATGAGTGTCCTTACTTATATGGAACAAGTCCACAGTTTGTAGTCAACGATGAAATAGATCAGGGCGACGCACTCGATTACATGCCTACTCATCAAGAGTTAAAGTCATGTGGCAACTGACACTTGTATTTGGATAGAGAGGTAGATAGATAGATAGACAATCCTCAACCTAAACAGGAGCTATTAACAGTACGAAACAAGTTAGACATAGATTTTCAATTAATTTTAATTTTAATTAATTGGCGTATAAAGAAATAGCATCACAAATGGGCGACATAGATTTAGAAACATAAATATCAATGGGCGCGGCTTTCATTGTTCAAGAAACTAATCAATCAGTTAACGCACGGACTTCCAAACACGAAATGCAGCAGAACACTCATCGTTAAAAGTTAACGAGTGTACACATGAACTAACTGGAAACGATCTCGAATGATCTCGAATGGGATATAACTTGGAGCATCTTCGAACAAATCAAAAGCTTCAAATGTGATTCGATGACTAAACACAAAATTTTCATATTTGTTACTAAACTATTTTACAACCTTCTTCCTACTGCATATATGTTAAAAAGAAGGAAAGACGCGCTTTACGAAGATCTAACGTGTCCATCATGCAATTCAGCCACAGTTGAAACGACAGCAATTGCCTGATTTATAGTAATCAAAATCATGAAATACACCGCTGCACTTATGAATTGCGGTTAATGCTGCGATTATTGCTCCGGAGTCAGCCAAATAAGTCCAAATAATTTCTCGGAAAAATTCGAACCTTTTTTCAAACAAGACATCAAAACGAGACTTCCGCGTCATATCAAAGCTGACGATGAGTAAACTCAGGATATCAAGATCTAAGGCGCTAGCGTATTTGACGCACTTCTAGTCACACTTATTGAATTATTTAAAGAACTCGTATGGATTCTGAGATGCAAAAATATGATCAATGGGGAGAAAGGACACAACATCGTGGTGCACGACAAAAGGGCCTCCTCATCACAATTTCCGAATATACATACGAACGAATCGAGCATACTTGACGTGCATATAATATATTATATAGAGATGAGAATTATATTGCTCAATCAAGTTTATAATAGTATATAAAAAGAAAAAAAAGGTTGAGTACGATGAGTCGGCGATTCTATAACATTGTGTTATAGTGTTATTTTAGTAGTAAGATTTTTTATTATATCATCAAATCAATTCATTATTTTTATTTTAATTTTAATTAAATTATAAATTAATATTCTTTTTTTTTCCTTTTTTTTTTGATTACAGGTAATCTTTAAAAAGAGATTGTGTTATCGGTCATAGCTGTGATCCTATAACTCTGTGAGTTTTAAATTTAGTAAGAATTTTAGGGTTGGCAAAGATATTGTTATGGAGGAACTGTTTCAATTTTTAAACGCGAGAAGTAGCATGACCAACAATTGCAAAACGGGTAATTGTTGCATAATTAAACTGATAATATTTTTGATTATAAAATATTCTTTGGTCAGCTTTAACAAACGTACGGAAAACCTTTATTAGACGACTAAAACTGATGCCAGTCAGGCCAATCAGAAGAAAAAGAGCAAAAAAAACTGATGGTCAATCAGGCCAATCAGGCCCGAAAGAACTGATTAGCAAAACGTCAGGTCCAAATATGAGGGGCTAATGAAGTCTACCTTTTTCGGTCGAAATTGGGTGTGGGCGAGTAGTGACCATTGAATAAAATAAGGGTGATGCACCTGTCGGCCCTATTATAGTGAGATTAGTCGCATCATCAGTACAAAACCAACAAGTAAATTAAAAAAGTTGGTGGGAAGAAGGATAAGATGAAGAAGCTGATGATAATGGCGAGATTCAATGTCTATTTTGGTAAGTATTATACATTACTTGTGTATATATATATTATTAAAAAAAAAAGATAATAATCGTCTTTTAGGATCGATATATCTTGGGTCGGATCTTTTTATATTTCTTCAGGTTGTAGGAAGGAAATTCTAGATTTTTGGGTATGTCATAAGCTATCTCGCTCTTTCCCCGATGATTTCGAATTACATTTCTAAACAATCTTTTTTTCTTCGTAAAGGATATATTTATTCGCATGATGTATAATGGGCATTGTACACCAATTTGGATTGAAGACAGAGTCTTCAACATCATCTTTGAAAGAATACAGTAAATTTTACCATTAGATTCATACATATTACACGATTAGATCAAAGTGATGATGTTATTTTCTCGTATGGAAAGACTGAAATATTTTATTGTTATACATTATATATATTAATTGATTAATTTTATTCGTTATTATTTATAATATTATAATATGGCGTAATAGATCAATACTATAGGTTTTGTTGAAACAAAAGAATTAGTATTAGCAAAAATTGGAATCATTGCCAGAGAAGGAAAAATCAAAAAGATGAATGGCGAAAAAAAACCCATTTTATTTTTATTTTATGTATCAAAGGTTAACTAATAATTAATAAATTATTAAATCATACGGTTAAATGCATTTTTTTTTGTGATCTCATGGATTAACAGTTAATTTCAGCCATTTTAATGTTAACATTTAGCAATTTCTGAATACTAAAATTGAATAATAAAAACAATCGGAGGTTGGAACACTATACCGTGCAATGAAAAAGCCCTCCCCCTCTTTTTTGGTGCTATTGAAAAAAATCTTTTATTAAAATTGAACGACGAATTGAAAAAATTGAGACACGAAATGCAATATTACATTATTTTAACCTAAAATCAATTTATTAAAAAAATTTTGGCGTTCATTATCTTGTTTAATGATAATTTTGCTTTTGTGTTGAAAAAAGGACAACTGCATGCGTCGCGTAAAAGACTTCACCAACAAATTAGAAAACGTATATTTTCCTTAGACTTTTCCGAACTAACTCAAATTACATTGATTATGACTATAAAAAAAAAAAAAATTTTTTTTTGAGTTTTTCCCCAAAAATTTAATGTTTAATGATGTTTAATGAAGATCTTTTTTTTTTTTATCATTTTTATCACTAAAATTTCCCACAGGATTGTTTTATTGTGTTTCCGAATGATAGACCGTTTAATAGTCCAATATTGGCTTATCTGTTGTTTATATATCCGTTTTGTCTCTTTAATAAGTAATTTCTTAATAAATGAATGAAACTATACTTGTAAATGTTTGGTTACAATATTCGCCTCGTTTTTAGGTGGATCTGAGTGTGTTAAAATACTTAAATATCACATCAATACAAAAATATACATTATAATAGCAGGCAGATAATTCTGCCTGCACATTGAATATCATAATGAGATAACAACAACAACGAATAATATTTTTTTTATTTATTTTATATAACTGATAAATACATCAGATTCAGGTATTAAACAGGTATTTATATTTTAAGATCGAGGTTATATTAGTCCGAAATATTCCGGAGGGAAAAATCATAAAAAATTAATTAAATTAATTTATACCGTTTAAAATAACGCGTATAAATTTTTTTTTTTTTTTTTCAAATACTACAAAAATTTTTTTTCAGATTATCGTAACTAATTTGTAATTTCATTTTAAAAAGCATGAGAAAATTTTTTATAATATATAAATACATAATTAGAAATTCATGAAAGATTTAAACGAGTACCTTAAAGGATATATTTAATACAACTAATAATGATCTAGAATCTTTAATCAGTTCTTAAATAGAAATATCTTTAATCAGTTCCTAAATAGAAATAATAACTTCACCATTTAATAACCCGATTAGGGAGAAATAGATAGAGGGTACGAATTACAAATTGATCATTTGTTAATGCAATGTGATTGTAATGTCTTTCAAAAGAACATTATTAATACAAAATCCTTTGTGCAATAGAAAGTTATAAAAACAAATTTCATTGTAACATAATAAAACTTTCAGGATTATCTTTTAATGTTTTTAAAACAAGGAAATTTACGCGGAATGATGTGGAATGATTGAGTAATGTTTATTTCAAATTTCATTGATAAAATGAAATGACATTAAAAACTTACCTTTTTAATAAAAGGAATTCCGTTCCAAGTTTGTGAATATATTCTATTAGTAAATTTCAAGAATATAAAATGGGCTCCTGTTCTTGCTTGTTAATCAAAAAAAAAAAAATAATAAATAATAAAATTCAAAATAATACACTCTCTCCTTATTTTCCTAAAAACATAAAATGGCAGATACAAATATCCGTGAAACTCGATATAATTTCAGACCTCGAGCTCAAATGGGAAAGATACCTAAAGTAGCCAATTGTTTTCTCATATTTAACTCCAATCTTAGGCGATCAAAGCCTAAATACGTGTCGATGCCCGCCCTCGATTTCATAAGACGCTCTTCCCACGAATGGAGGAGACTTCCGGAGAAAAGAAAGTCCTTATACCGTCGCGAATATGAGATCAAAAAATACGACCTCGAGAAGTCATTCCAGGCATCTACTAGTCCCCAATACAGTTACATGGATATTTTGAATATGTAAAAAGCTGCCATTTCGACAATCCCCTCCCCTTCCTTTTTCCACACAGTAATTTTAAGATAAAAGGGCTTTAAGTTTTAAAATAATTGGGCTTATGTAAATTATGCTTTAAGATTTTAATACGTTTTTTAATATATGTAAATAATATATAAATTATTAATATTATGTAAATTTATATATGTATATAGAATATAGAATAAATAAATAAAATTGAAAGAAAGAAATATTTTATAATGAAAAATCATTTGCATATTTTTATTAATGATATTCATATATATAAAGTATTACGTAAAATTATCTTATAAAATAACTATAAAGAAAATTGTACATAAACAACTAATTTTTTTTATATAAGGAAAAAAAGAACAAAAATTCTAAAAAAATTTCAATACGTTAAAGTTGTAAATCACCCTTCAGGAAAAAAATAAAATAAAAAAAGTCAAAAGTTTTTAACACGTTTTATCATTATATACACTGATAGGTTGACATATTGTAATTGTCTCCCAAATTGGTAATTTGAATTTGTTTCACCAAATTTTGATTTGGTTAAGTATCTTATTTTTTCTAAATAACTTACTTTAATTGTAGGTACCCTTTTTTTTTCTTTCAAAAATTATATTTTATAAATAGTGTTGCATAATAAGATCATTTCTTTAAAGTTAATTAACTTGTCCATTTTTGTTAAAGCCTAAAATTACGGGGATTAAATTCCGTAAAAAAAAAGCCTTTTTAATGATAATTTATACTAATAAAGACATTAATATCTAAATTTGATAGAGGCTAACTATAATTTATATTCATCACTTCTTGTATTATTAGAAGGAAAGTGACAAATGGCTCACGTGGTTATACCACATATAATAATGTACTAACTGCGTCTTAGTTGAAAGTTGTCATATTTCTCTTATTTTTAAATTTTGTTTATAAAGGTGTGACAAATTAACGAATTTGTATTTCCTTTGACATGATACTTCATTTAGTTTTATTCTTTATTTTAAACCCTTTTTTTTTATGGTTAATTCTGAAACGTCTATATGTATTGAAGCTTCTAATATGTATGCTTATATAAATTCAAAAAAAAAAAAATAATAAAACTTATGAAATTACATCTTTTACGCCATTTAATTTTTTTTAGTCTCTTTTATCTGCTCCTTTCAAAGGCATGCTTTCGTTTTCTTTATGCATTACTTGCGTAGACGCCTTTAGAACCCATTTATCAAAAGAAAATTTTTTACGCCCACGGGTTTCTGTCGAACCTAATGAGTACAAAAATGTTGTTTAGTTGGTACAAAAAATTTATACATGATACATGTTTTGGCTGGTACAAAAAAAGTTGTTTGGTTGGTACAAGAATTGTTTATACATAATTTAAATGGTATTATACATGTTTTAGTTGGTACAATTATCGTGTGAATTTTTTAAATTGATGTGATACGATAATGTATGTAGTTTAACTATTAGATTGCATATACATAAATATTTTTTTAACAATGGAAACTGTATTGTGTTTTTATTGTCATACAATATGATATGATGTGGAATGTTCATGGAGATTCCGAAATTTTGAATTAGGAAATGACTTATCACACTTATCACATATATCACGTGCATATGAAATTTTTTAATTCGTTAAATGAAAAAAACGAAAAAATTATAATAATTTAATGCCAGTTTTTAATCCATTGTATACATGAAATAGATTTAATTCTTAAGAATTTACGTTACAAATTTACAATATGGGTTGAACCTATTATTCGTTCAAGTTCCTCTAACTTCCAAATAGACATCAAATACATCAAATGTTTTTAAAACAAAATTATGATTTATTAGAATAAACAGAATTATAAAAAGTACAAATAATAATAATAGTAAAGGGGATGAAGGGGATTATTTTAAAAGATCCATTACTTAATATAATAAATGAATAATAGCTCACGGATATATAAAAAATCGATTACTTTGTTAACAAATGCCGGAATCTCTCATTGTCTAGTAGATTTGTGTAAGTATTTGTTAGAATACATCATCTAAAGATTAAAGAAACAAAGGGTGATACAATTCCCTAAATATACCTAATGGAATTACGCTCGTTGCAGTCCCTATTTTCAAATCCCCCAGCAATTAAAACGGAATTGTTTTTACAGAACGCGTCATCGTCTCCTTAAGGGAGAAATTAACAAATCCGGAACCTCTCAAAATTCATGATTCACAAGTAGTGTTTCGATCCGGATAAAACCTCAAATATTTTAACGTGGGATTATGATTAAAAAAGGTTACAAATTTCGGCTTTGAGTGGACTATAATTTCGGCCAGAATTAAAATAATATTATTCCATAAATTTTTATTAATTTTGGTGGTCCCAGCCTAAATCCTGTCTCTTATACACATCTAGATGTGTATAAGAGACAGGATAAAAACCGGATAAAACCGCTACGGATCGAAACTCTATTCACAAGGGGGTACGCTAAAAAAACAAAGCACGGATGAGTATACGTAAGAATATATATATATATGTGAATATCTAATACAATATAAAATATATACCGATGAATGCAATATAATACCTACGAATAATCAAAAGAGCGTCTCATTTCATCAATCCTCAAGATCTATCTAATTCATTTATCATACTGGGAAGAACTACTCGCCTAATGATACACAGATACAGTACTATTCTGCATCGACACCACCGTTAAGCTGGATAGTTTCATCAATTTGACCTATATTGGCTTCTTCTGTGGCGAAGATGATTGTTATGTCGTTTCATTTGACACTCCTGTTACAGAAACAATATTCTTTACTTGATGAAATTGCTAACAAATCATCTTGGATGGTGAGGCAATCGCAAAATCACCACCATCAACGATTGCATCTTCCTCATCGAGAATCTCCTAAGTAGAATCATCTTTATCAGCAGTTATAATAGACTTAGTAGTTGTTATCACGTTTAAGGAGGAGGAAGTATGAACTGGCTTATATTTCCTTGTAGAAGTAGACTTTAATTTTAGTAGGTTTATAGCGGATTTACTCGTCTTCAAATTCTATGATAGCGTCGAGTGGTTTTTTGATTACCATGTGTTGATCTTGATGGCATCGCTCACATCATCGATTTTTGGTCAACCAAAAGCTTTTTGTTTTGACCTATATTTATTTATATGTCCAATTGACCTCCCATGAACGTAAATTATGCAGGTGCACAAATAGAAAGGAATCTGTGATTGGCATAAGATTACATAAGATTCCGCTACCGTTGTGATCCATAGATAGATCGCCAGTAGAAGGCCCTCAGTTTCATGCGCGTATCTCGTTCTTGTCTCAACCAAATCACCATTACATTTCTTACAAAACACTGGTCCATAGTCCTAGGTTTTGTTGAATTAGCAGATGCCGACGTAGTCTTTAATCGATTACTTTCTTGTTTGGTTTAGCCTTTTACGATAGGAAGTGGTTTGCCGAGTAAGCACATTTCTACATTTTAAGATATTTCTTTCGAGTAACTTCAACTTTTATAGAAACAGCATTGATCCCCACCGAATTATCCTGAACTTAAATTATAAGTAATATTCGTTTGTCCTCTTCTGATACGCCATCATCATCTGTGCTTTTTTGATCGAGATTGATTTAATAGCACGATTATTAGAAGATTATCTAATGCTGCTTTTTGTTCACGTTTCGTTTTCTTGAGAGGTAAAGTGGCTTTGAATCTTCATCTCAAAATCAACCATCATCATCAATCTTTGTTTTAGAGCTTCTCGGTTATTGCTTTTGGAGTTGTTTCTGTAGCATTTCTCAAATGCCTAGTAGTAGATCTTGTTGTATTAGAGCGCTTGTGTTCTTTCCTTAGTTGTTAACATTGGTTGTTAACATTGGTTCGTATTCAAATTAGGTGGTTTTCTTCGATTAAGAGAGCGATATAGAGTAGATCTTTGAAGCAGAGATTTCTGTAAAGTAGAAACTTTGGAGCATTGTAATCAGCGAGTTCTCTCATCTGAATACCGGCTGATTTAGGATTAACTATTACAACTAAGAACTTATTTATTGCAATATATAATTAATTATGTATTTAAAACTTTTGTTACGTACATAATGTATATCATTTTCTTAAATCCTTTAAATTTTAGACTTTAAAGATTGTTAAGATGCTTTGGGATTCTAATTACATTAGAGCACCACTTCGGGTAGCACAACTGCATATATGCAGATGACAAATAGAGATCAGGGAGATCAGGGTCCCTGAAATATATATAAACAGCGCGAACTCAACCATCACGAGACCAAGTAACATAAACATCACCACATCACCTGTACTACTCGATCTAGTATATGTTCTCAAGTCTCAACTTCTTCATCTTCGATTTGAATAGTGGCTGAACGCCTCTAAGTCGGAATCCATTGCCAGAATGGGACTTTTTTTTTATTTAACTTCTCCTATAAATTCTATACGTTGTCACAAATCCTATTGTGAAAACTATTATTTAGTTGGACGAGAGTATGAAGCATCGATAAGTAAGAATATTCCTAAATTTATTGATAATTGATTCAAATAATTTAAATTATTTATATCAAAAATCTCACAATCTTTGTAGAAAGTTACTTCACAGTTCGAACTACAGAATCAGATAGTACTATTATTGAATTCCAACTTTAGCAACAAATACTTTTAAACGATCTATAATCAATCTTTGTTCAATGGTACTTGTTCGGGATCCTAAACATTGCAGTGACTATCGCTCATTTCTTAACATTTGGCACGACATCAGTTCAATCTGGTAATTTTCTAAAAGAAATTACTCGCAATGATGGATCATTAAAATTATGCTGCATCATATAGAACTTTTTACATCAAATTTAAGGTAATTTTTATATCCATTTTTTTTAGATATCATTTAATTATTTGATCTAGACCAAATAGGTTTAATTTATAATAATATTATAATTGATTTAATAGGCAAATGATGATAATTATTTAGTAAAACTATATATATATTATCCCAGCTTAATGGATTCGTATGGTAATGAATACTTTTTTTGCATTTATGATGATTTCATATCAACATTAGCCAGAAATTATTCTGATTTTATTGATATTTTCTCGCAGGAAGAGTTGATAGTATTGTCATTGAAAAGCCTATTGTGAATATTATTCTTTATTTCCTTGGAAAGGATGTCGTGAACACTTTTGGAATGACTGGACAAATAAATCCAGATTACGATTTCGCTGAAATAATCCAAATGCCTGCCAAAATCATAAAATTCTTAAGGAGAAAACGATTGGCATTTTGAAGAAGTGAAGGAAACTTGTATGAATAGGTGTTATGTTAAATGGATTATTGTTTTTTTTATTCTGATTTTAACTATTCAAGGATATCAGTTATTTCTTGATCACGTAATATGTGTAATATGGATGGAATGTGAAATTCTTTATTGATGAAGTTAAGTTTGGTGTGACACGAGAATTATTATTTGTATTTGTAATTAAAGGAGATGAGGAAGGTGAACGTTAAATTCTTTATTGAAGTTGATCAGGAGTGTTTAGAATTATTATTTTATTATTTTTTTCTTATTTTGTGTAGGCGAGGGAGATAAAGGTATGATTGAAGGGTGGTGTATTATAATTCTAGTCTGTTCACAATAATTAGGGATTTTCGATAAAGCAAAAGAATGTAAAAACAATAGTAGAATTTAGGAAGTTGCAAAAGGGGAAATTTCTTTGGAGATAATGTGTATGAATTCAAATGAAATTTTATTAGTTAGGATGGAATCAATTGTGATCTTAAACGTAATTCCCTTTGAATTATAATCCCTTTTATTCTTTTTTCTTGTTTTATTCGATTACTTCTATTAATTCCTGTTCGTAACATTTCGTTTGATCTTGATAATTTCTAAATAATTATTGATAGTTTCATTATTCCTAGCTGTGTTTATTTATCTCTTTAATTTTCTTTTCGACTTGTTAATTTCTCTTTTTTTTTGTTTTCCAATAAATTTTGGTATCTTCTGGTTGTGTCATTTTCAACTTCTATTGCAAATCTTCTTTTGTTAATCCAACAAAACTTTACCTGGAAGTAATTTATTCATTAAGAAATTATTTGGTCAATTTATTCAGCCAAAACAAGCGCGTGAGGATAATGGATCAATTGCTGAAGCAGATAAATCTCTTTATTACCTTAAGATATTTGTGACAATTTATATTATTAACTTAATCTACTTAATCTTTAGAACTTAATCAATAACCGAAATACTTTGTATTTCAACAGGAAATCTACCTTCTGTTTCCTTATATCTTTCATTATGAGTTTTTACAAAATATATGATTATTTGATCCGCATATAATGACACTATTGACTATGATTGACGCCCAGACTAAAACATTTCAAAAGCCCACCCAAAAGTATTGGCATGTGTTTTTATACAACCTAAAATGAAATATAAACTATCATTAGATTTCCATCGAATTAGATTGCTCTTCATCATGAATCTTCTTCATTGAATCAGCAATTTAGTAGTTTGATCCATCAAATATATTGGTTAGTTTGATCTATCAAATATATTAGTATTTACAAAATACACAATTCAAGGGAGAAATATATTTTCTACTAATCCTTCGGAAACCGAACCGTCGAGCGCGGAGCCCTTATATTAATAATAGCAATTAACAAATTTACATCTAACGATCACATTGTAAACTGTCACGTGACTGGGTGGACTATTTGTGTTACTATTTTTAAGACTCTAGGGAAATTAATATCGAAACATTGTAGGGAAAAAAGAAAATGTATGTACGCAACCTTAATATTCGAATTATAAAATTACGAAAAGATTTTTTATAATAGATTATTAAAAATTGAAGAAAATTATTTCTTTAAATTTAAAGCTTATTCCCAAAAAATATATCACAAGCGACGTGAATAGTTTGTATTAAAAATAACCAATCACCTTTTAATAAAGTTGCTGTGCCAACAACTTGTTGATCGAACTTCAATATACCAATTACTTATAATTTATTCAAGGGACTATCACATCTATATAAGGTAAGGGTCATTTAAAAAAAAAACAATACCGTGTGATGTGATGAAAAAACCTTAAATCCGGTTTTAGATTATTCCAAATTTTACAGGTTTATTTAATTTTAAATGAAATTATAAACAAGAATTACAAAAGATTTTTGCGATAACCTAATTTTATTATAAATAAATAAATAAATAAATAAAAAAAAAAATAAATATTTATGTTAACAGTTAACTGTGTTTCCATGTATTTGTCAAAAAATATATTTAATTTTTTACGGAGTTGATTCCGAAAAGTTTCTTTTCTTTACATCACGCGCTTTAATTCTCGAATCGAACCTGTTTATCCTTTTTTTTTTTATTTTAATTATTATTTTTTTTTTTGCAGTTTTTGCAGGATGTAAATGTAAAAGCATTACAGCTATTAAGCTAAAAAAAATTGTGCTACAGATCATCATAATTAATTTGTTAGTAACAACTTAAAAGAATTATAATTGGTTAAAACGTGATTAATGAGATAATTTTACAAAATTTTCAACGCCAGGTTTTTTCAAAGGTTGTTAATATCATAAAATATTATATATATGGTGAGTGAATGCTTTCAATAAAAAAAAAAAAAATTAAACTCTAATATTCTCATTTAACGCGCAATTTTAACGTAAAAAAATGGATTCCGTAATTTTTTCTTTTCTCTTTGGCTGCACTTTTACAGTTAGTAATCGATTATTTATTTACTTATCCTAATTTAATAGTATATTTGTATAATAATATTTATAATTTGTTTTTTACTTTGTTAGATTTACGTTCATAATTTCATTGTATCGGCATTTAATTACCGATATGACATTTCCAATTTTTCAATATGGAAAATAACGATAAATTTAAGTGGAGCGGTCGTGTCTATTCTCTCCGTCTTTCTAGTCTACCAACTATCATGCCAAACAATAAGCTACATATGTGAAACCGCGGATTTTATATATAGGCAATCGATTATTCTCTTTTTATTAAAGAGGTTAATTGGCGTATCGAATTGTAAATGGGACAAAATCTTTTGCATTTCATTTTTTACGATCAGGACTTTACTCCAAGTAATTATTTTTTATTTTATATTACGGTATTACTGTTGAATAAAATTTAAAATCTTAATTAATTGATTCGTTCATATTTTCAAATAGATAACTCATATTGTATTATTCAGACTTGACGTTGGTAGTACGTGTGATTTTGAAGATAAAGCGAAATTCGCAAAGTGGGGGTACATCGGCATTGATTTAATTATCAATATTTTCGTAACGATTAGGTTGATCCAAATTTTAACAAAAGGTATCAGAAATTCGAAAGACTTAAATCAAATGACCGAAAGGTCACCAAATATGAATAATTTATTTAAGGCGGCTAATTACTGGGGTTATCTACAATTGGGATCAACTTTAATATTCAATAGTTTAGCGATTGTAGAGATAATTCCTTCGTTAAAATTTGGTAGTATTTTAACGATCAGAATTTTTCAAACTCTTAATAATATTTTATTCTCCCTTTTAATAACAAATGACAAAAAAATTGTTAAAATAATTGCAAGAATCGAAGATAATGATAATGATAATAATATCGATAATATCGAGATATCTGTATAATATGGTTTTATTTCATTTGATTTCATTTAATATGGTATTTGATATTAAGTAAACATAATTTATAAAAATAATTTGTATTTTATATTTTATACAAATAATAAATAAATAATATAATAATTATAATTATAATATAATTAAACATCATCTTATACGTAATACAAAAAAAAATGTGCTAACTTTTCTACTTTTCTACATTTCAATAATATGCATGTACCATTCATACCATTCATGTACACTCTGCTGACGGGACCGCAGAAAGAAAAAAAAAAATTGACAATACTTTATTTATTATTGGTTAACAAATTTTTTCATATGTTTAAAACTCATAATACATGCATATGATGCATTTCTCTTGAATGGCTTTTATTCGTGTCCTTTGTTCAAAATGTTATTTAATTTTAATTAAGAAATTCTTTGAGATGGCCAAAATGATCGCTGATCGACCTCTTTTACTTATTTGTTTTTCGACATTTGATGCGCAGAAAAGTGAAAAAATTTTTCTGCAAGTCAAAAGCTCAATCGGAGAATTTTTTGTAATTTGATGCAAGATCTGCAAAGGATCTATATGATATCAATCATTGAAACTTTTTTTAATTGTTTTCAAATTAACTTAAAACGTAATTTTTATAATTTTTATTATATATTTTTGGACAGCATTGATTAAGAACACTTGAAAAATGATTATAAGTATCAAAATACATTTAATTTTATTTTTATATTGCATAATTATTTTTATTAGATAATACATATATATCTGATATATTATTAATAATACTGTATTATTTTATTTTTTTAATAAGTTAATATAAATATATATTATTATATATATTATTTATTAATATTTATTTTTTTTTTTTTTTTATTTTTTTTTTTTTAATAAAAACTCAAATTAACACAAAAAAAAGAAGATTCCTTTAAGCGAAAAATTCTTCTCACAAATAATTTATGTATTTTATTTTATATACCTAATCACTTAATCACCATAATCAAAAATGTTCATCCCATGCCAATTTATCTAAATATGATTAGTTGATTTTTGTATAATGAAACCCCAATACTTTTTTTATATATATTTTTACGCGGATAAACTCTAATAAATCCTTTTTTTTTATTTTTTACAAGGGAAGTTCTAATAGATTTTTTTTCTTCTTAAAAAGATTCTTTTGAACGTCCACAAATTATCTAATTTGGTATTTTATTTATTTTCATTTTATTCCAAATCAATCATAAATTACGTTATAATCTAAAATATCTATCCGTCAATATACCTAAATATAATTTTGACCTTCTAACCCTTTCTCTAAAAAGATTTTTTTACACGAAATACTTATTCCGGACCGGATATATTATTTGGACCGATATATTATTATTTTATCTTAAAAACAATTCTTGTTCAATATATTTAGTATATTTGTTTTATACACGTATTTGTTGATATAAAAAGGTTTCATACAATATATACAATATACAATATATATGTGCATATATATATATATATATATATGCTACATTATATTAAATTATTTTAATAAAAATAAAAATATTATTATATTTATTATATAAGAATTATAATTGTTTCTTACATTAATTATATCATATGAACATTACTATATCATATGAACATTATTTATTATGCAACAAAATACTTCGGAACACACGCGTTATCAAATCTTTTTGATTTAAAGAGTAAGAGTTTCTTTTATTATTCCATATTTATCTTTATTTACTTTTTTCCATCTCATCTATTCATCCCTTTATTAATAAAAGATTGAGTCATACTTTATCAAATCTTGTTGATTTGAAGAGCAATTGCTTCTTTTATTAATTCATTTCTATTTTTTACTTTTTTTTCCATCTCATTCTATTCATTCATCCCTTTATTAATAAATGATTGCGTTATACCGAACGCACGCGTCATCGATTTGAGGAGCAATTGCTTCCTTTTATTAATCCATATCTATTTTTATTTTATTCTATTCATCCCTTTTTTATTAATATATGCTGAACACAAATCCTTTTGATTTAAAGAGCAATTGCTTCCATCTCATTCTATTCATTCCTTTATTAATAATAAATGATTGCGTTATGCTGACGCGTTATCAAATCTTTTAATCCGTATCTATTTTTAATTTTTTTCCATCTCTTTCTATTCTTTCCTTTATTAATAAATGATTGCGTTATTGGTGTTATTGTTTAGATCACAGGTTAATGATTCTTTCATCTCATAATTTACGCCAAGTTGACTATTTGTCTAAGGTAAAAACTTATTTCCGCGATTATTTAGCTTTTTTTGAAAGAAAAGATTTCTCAAAAAGGTGTTATCAACATGTAATACACTCAAATGCATCATTTCATTTAGGTCAATGATATCTACGCCAAGATATTGAAATAAACGCGTTGTTGGTAATTAAAGTTTATTATAATGATTTCGTACAATGTACTTACCCCCCTTTACGTTTCAAATATGATACACATGGCGCTGCGCAAGACTCAGATATTAATTATAAAAGCATCCATAATTCAGTGTCGAGATCGTTCTTTACAATTTAAGAAATTATGAAAATATAAGATACTTAAAATATGATTTTTATAAGTTAGTTCTGAAAAAAAAGAAAAAAAAACAAAAAAAAAAAAACCGGTACTCCCCTTTTCTTAAAGTATCACCAAAGTCTCTCCCAAGAAAAAATCCCGTGGAAACAAAAAAACACTCCCAAAAATCCGCCCCACCCACTCTGTCCTTCTTTTGCCCTTTTGTCCTTAATAAAAAGGAAATCGGTTAGTAAAACAAAAGTTTAAACAAATCAGTTAAATTATAACTCGTGAAAAATATCAACAATTAACCTTTTATCTTTTTTTTAATATAAAATTAGGCAATTATTGGGATTGTCGAATTCAGCTTTTTATAAATTCAGAATATCCATGTCCCGACACTGTTTGGGAATCCGGCTATTTAAAGCTCGGTAATGGAAAAATCTGNCGTTCTTTACAATTTAAGAAATTATGAAAATATAAGATACTTAAAATATGATTTTTATAACATTTTTTTTATATATAATATATATAATGTAAAAATCATATCAAAGAAACTTTACTGTATTCCGTTTTTTGATTAAAAATGAATATTTTTATTTGTTTGATTTTATTTTTTTATTTTATTTTTATTTTTATTTTTATTTTTATTTGAGAATTTGTATTTGTTTTATTTATAAATTTTCTTTTTTATTTTTTCTTATTTTATTTATTTTTCTTAAAATATTTCTTTCTTTCAATTAAGATTCAAAAGATTTTATAGGGAAATCATTATGTAAAATTTTAAGATCGTTTGTTAATAAAATTAAATAAAAAAAAGATATGAAAATATCTTTTTTTAAAAAAAAAATTATGCGTCAATGTTTCATATCAATGGTTTTTTCTTGTAATTTTATCTTAAAATATTTTTATTCATAATTATTTATTCTATTTATTTCGATTGTAAAAAATAAAAAACTGCGTTTTTTTAAATTTCTAAAATAACAATAATTTGTTCAGTTAAAAAAATCAACATAGATTTTATAAAGTCAAAAGGATCATAAGAATTATTTAAATAAACGCTTCTTTGTATATATATTTTATTAAACGCGAAAATTTTTCAAAAAGATAAATGTTGTACAAAAAAATTTGACCAATAAAATTACGTTACCGAATAATTTATATTTATGTCGATCTAATTTATATTTATATCAATCCAATTTATATTTATGCTAAAATAAGTAATATAAGAATGTTATATAATTATGTAATTTTATAAAATTTTCTTTGGTTTTTACTTGCTTTCTTGAATTATCTTTTGTAAATAATTCATATAATCTATAGTAATATAATAATATAATAAGATAAATTTAAGAAATTACAACCAATATTAATATACTAATTATAAATTTATTTTTATAAATTTAATTCTTTTTCTATCTAATCAAATTAATTATCCTAATATTCTATTATATTAAGAATTACTTTATAAAAATTATAAATTTAATTGATTTAAGTAATTATTTAAACAAATAATAAAATTTGAATTATTAATTTTTAATTAATTATAATGAAATTTATTATACTTTTATACTTTCAATTTGAAAAAAAAGTTAAAATTAAATAAATTTAAAAAAAAATAATTTACAAATATTTTAGATTTTAATAGTCCTATTAAATTTTATATAATCTGATCAATTTTAAAAACTATTTACAATTTTAATATTAAAAGTAAATTATAATAAATCAGATTATTATAAAATTTACAATACATCAGTTTATGCAATTTAAATCTAATATTATTAATATATATTGTTTTTTTAATTAAAATTATTTTATTATTACTATTTATTTAAATATTTTAATTATAAAAAGACTTATTTTTCACCTAAATGATTTCTTATTCTCCTTATAGTCGTGTTAACCATTTGCTAATTATTTTCAAAAAAGAAATAATATAATTTTATAAAGATAAAGAATATTAAATTTTACCTGAAATATATCCATTCTTTAATTATATATAATATTTTTAAATATTTATATTTCAATTAATATACTATTATAAAAAAATTTATTAAATAAAAATTTTTATTTTAAATATAAATTAAAAGTTAAATAATTCATATTTTTTTAAATACAATTATCTTTTTTTATTATTAATATTATTATAGTCAAAAGGAATAGTTAAATACAATTATTTTTATATTAATTATTTAAAAATATAAAAGAATTATTAATATTTATTTAATAAATTAATATATATTTTATTTATAATTCAAATTATATATAATATTTATAATATTTATATTTTACAAGAATTTTTTTTTTAAAAAATAATTTTATCAATGACGCTATGATAATTATTTTGTTAATTATTTCTAAAAAAAAAAAATAATGTAATTTTTAACACAAAAAAAAGTGTTTTTTAAAATAAAATTTAATATTAATTTTATATAACTTTCAAAAGTTATAATTTATAGGTAATTTTACCC